ATTGCGCATACTCAATTCGCTGTATCGAGTCGGTATGACAGATTTCCTAATCAAAAAAGTGGTCAACTTTAACACTGGGGGCGACGTGTGGCTCAGTGTTTAACGCGTTCAACTCATCAATTGAGGGATAGCAGGTTTAAACCTAGTCCTCGCCCCATATACTGTTTCACAAATTTTTGAGAGTTTCTTGTGGAAATTTATACACAGATTAAGAGGAAGAATTTCATGCAATAGGGATTAAAGAGATAAAAGTAATTTAATAAAAAGAAACGAGATAAGAGAAATAGAGGACCTGTGCTGTAGTCCGAGGGATGTTGAGAGCATTTCTTGCCTGGGAACACTAATTAAAAAAAAAAAAACACACTAAATATCTCGATTCGTGAAGCAGACCGCTGCATTTTTCTGCCAGATTCTTTTATTTTGTGAAACCGCGTCGCTTGAGATCAATTTTTATCAAAAATTGGAGATGAAGGCCGTATTCTAAATAACCTTTATTCTAATTATCGCTTGATACATAAAGTTTGTGTGTTGCATGATATAATGTTTAAGAGATACTTTTAATTTATATGAATGCATTTTGTTATATTGACAAGAACATATCACAAGTATAAAAAAATGTTACCAACACTAAAAGATTCAGAGAACAAAGATGGAGAAAACAAGAATCTAATTAAGATTGTAGAACGACCAACATTCATACTAAAGACTAGAGAAGGAGAAAATAGAGCGGTTTCTCCAAGTCAACGTAATGGCTATAAGTATAGTATTATTAAATAATTTATAATAGTTAAATATTAATTTCCATATATTATTTTATCTGTTACTACAGTTTGTTATGATACAATATATAAATTCTTGTTTTTTTTTAGAAAAGATGACATATCTTCAGGTACACTAGGAAAAGTACATGATTGTAAGTTTAATAAAATGATCCTCTGACTAATTAGAGTTTTTTTTTTATTAGTACAATCAAGATTATTTGCTATGAATTTCTAATCTTTTATACCATATTTTGATTATGGTAATAAGATATGATTTTTAAAATTATGTCTAAAATAGACATAAAATTTAATTGTGAGATAATATTGTCATTTTTTTACCATTTTAAAGTTTAATTCATAAAAATTTCTGTTTTTGATAGTTTATAAATTATTAATATTTATAGAGAAAAAAATCTATTCAGAAAAAATATATATCAAATTAGATAAATGATTTGTGATTGAAAAAATATCATATAAAATATAATTTCTAGACTATTTAAAAAATTAATATATAAATATAGCAAAATATGAAAATAATGTATTTCAGTGATTCGTATACTTCCCATATGTCCAGAGATGAATACATGTATCAAATTTATGGATGAAAATATGCAATTATGTGAGAATTCAATAGATTTTTTACACGATCAACAGGACTTTTTAGTTGTTGGATGTCTAGGTGCACAAGGTGTTGGTAAATCAACAATTATGTCGTTGTTAACATCATATTCGTATGTATTACACTTATTTCTTGCATATTATGCTATTAAATTGTATGCTATTTTTAAGTATTTTTACATCTTTTTAAGAAATGTTATACTTTAATAATTTTATTTATAATTAGGTCTAATATTTTTCAAGTTCAAAATATATCACATTATGAAAGTAGTACAAATTGTACAACTGGAATAGATTTTTTGTAACTAAAAATAGAGTAATATATTTGGATACACAACCAATTCTTTCTGGATTTGCGATTGATTCTGCATCTTATGATCAGAAGAAAAGTACATCTGATTTTGTAAATACTGATTCAAATTTAGAATTACAATCTCTTCAGTTTGCAGCATTCCTGTTTTCAGTGTGCCATGTTATTATATTTATACAAGATTGGTTTGTTGATCCAAATTTAGTAAGGTAATTATAATGAAAAATATTTATTAAATTAATTATAATATAATTATTTCATAGAGTACAATATATGAAAAG